CAATTCTGAAGGACAAACATCTAGTTCCTTCAATACAAATGGTTTATTATGTTCAGCTATTCCTAATTTGCTTAATCTGATGTTTAAATCTCTTTCCATGGAAAAAAAAAGTCAACAAAGCATGCAGCTGGTTAATGTCAACAAAAGACCTTGACAGGAACATGTAAACTATGCTTAGGCGCCTTACTCCCAACAACATTATGGAGCTGTTTTATTACAGGATACTGTACAATGGATATGGGATCATTTCTACAGGCTTTTTAATCTCACAAAACACTCTCGAAATGTATGGAAGTGACTCTCAGTATAGAAAAGGTTTAACGCCATGCATCTCATCCCTTATCCATCAATATAACAAGGTGTCCCCATCTGGCTTTTGTCTTCACCAACCACAGCAAAGAAAAATGGGTAGTGTAACTGATGAGTAGATCGTATGCAATCTCTTTCCATTAAGTCCTTGAGAAGCTGCAAGCTGCAAATTCAGAATTTATGCTCCCTGAGGACATGGTCATATGTGACTTTGAAAGAACTTGGCTTTCCAAAGAGTGCCGCACACACTCAGTTCTTACTAGTATGAAGTCACAATCACATCATTCTTTTTTTTTGCTAGAGGACAGTCACATATATATACTAAGACAGTGATGCTTCCAACATTCTGAAATGCTCCAAAAACCAACCTTTCAAATACTAAATACAACAAAATAACCTTCATAAAATATAACTTTTCTCCATTTACATTTTCTTAAATGATTAGTGACCTATACTTTTTAAGTACAGGTAATTCTGAAACAATCCCTAACATGGACAGCATTTTTAAACTTTTTTTAAAAATTATTTTTCTAATACATAAATTAAGGATCCGGAGAGTTTTAACCCAAGTCCAGTTCCTACACAAGCAACATTTTGTTTACTTAAAAATGGAAATACAATCTATTCCCATTGCAAATGCTAAAAAAGGTAGCTTTACAAATGAGGGCACATTTAATTAAAAAAAAAATCTTAACAAAACTATACAGTGTACAAATAACTGTCTGCAAGGTTCATTAAAAGACCCTCACTTCTCACTATTAGAGCTTCACAGATTCATTCACATAGTTCTTGTGTTTTCAAGCTGCCCTTCTGAACATTACCCCACACAGCTATATTGCTATTAATTAGGATGAACTCTTTGCCATATCTATGTCTCCTTCACTGTAATATTCCCTTTCTTTAACTGAACCAAATTGTCCATGTCACTCCAGGGGAAACAAACTGCAGGGCAGCACCAAGAGGCCAAGACTGCAAAGCAATGAAATCAGAGGATGGGCGGTGCACACAGGATCATTAAAGGCATTTGTTAAGGTTGAAAGGTTATTAATGAATGGGAAATAAAGGGAGTTGAAATACTGTTTTAAAATATTTTTTTATTTTTAAGTGCAGAAAATTCTCCCTTAATTTTTGCAGAAATGTTTATGCCTGGCTTCCTCAATATGGTCTATAAAATGAAACCCTAAATATATTTTTGGGAAGTGCAACACAACAGCAGACCACCTCTACCAGGTTTGTTTAATAAGGGCAAGAAGAGTGTGCAAAATGCACATTATTAAAGGTTGTATTGTCATATTAAAACATAGTTGAGTTTCTCATAAGGTGCCCATACACAGGATGATCAGGCAGTTAAAGACCTTTGTTTGCTATTAGTGGGTACAACAGTCTGTAAAAGATTTGCTCATCCATGTTGATAGCCAGAGCTGACATATATGGGTGGTCCAGGCAGGGGCCAAACACTACCATGCAGGTAACCAGATGAAATGAAGAATCCTTTACTGACAGAAATATGAAGGCTGACTATAACCTAGATCCTACTAAAATGCTATTTGCTTGGCTATCTGTTGCTTAGTTATTTTCTGAGTCTCTTATGTAAAGTATACTGCCAGAAAAGTCAGACTTCCTGATCTGAATAGTTAGTCAAAAGTGAATCAAAGTGTTGGAAGTCACTTAATGAGCATGACAGCCAGCAACCAGGATTTTCAGAAGGAGAGGTCAACAAGGTTAGTTCTCTAATTACAGGTTTCCTTTAAGAGCACACATTGTTGTGGTCCTTGAATAACAGAATATTTCTTCCTGCACAAAAATATCTGAGTGCATAACTGTAGGTGGGAAAAGTCAGTAGAAGCCCATACACGTGCTGCACATTGCAGTGGAGCTCTAAAACGAGCCTTCTCTGCAGATAACCTGTGTGGATCTGGTATTTACATGTAGGTAAGACCAGTTTTGCTGCTAGTTAAAAACCACCTGAAATGTAATGGTAGTTTTTATTAACCTTAGAACTTATCCAAGTGTAGTTGCATAATAGTAAACAAATAAAATAAATAGGAAGGTGTAGATGTTGAAGAATCGGTAAGAAACCTTGCAAAGACACTACAACTACAGTTTTTGCTCTTTTTTTGCAAAGGGGGAAACTTTGTTTTGCTGAATTAATGTGTTCTGCAAGGATTGTCTGTTGTTCCTCAAGCCACTTTAAAAGTACTGGACTATACTTAAAAAAACAACATTTCATTTTGCTACATGAATGCAGATATACCAGTCTAACTTTGTGATTTTGCAATAACAATTCTTAACAAAGGGAGAGATTAATGAGTACACAGATATAAGAATAATTATCATTGTAGTGGCTGCACAAGTTCATGTTTGCATTAGTTTTCCTGCTGAGCTATTGAATATTTTAAGAGATCCGCCTGAGCAGATGAATCAAATGGAGTTGCCACATAATCCCAGTTATAACTATTCATTGGGTGATTGGCAGTGAGAACAATAATACATTTAATTGTATGAGGATGTGGTCACCAGGGTTCCACAATTCTGCTGCCATGTTTCACTTATGTGTATTTAACTGATGAGTGAATTCACACTAGGGGGTTTGTAAAATCATATTAAATAAAGAATGTTCACTGAGATCAACTAGGCAGTTATCCACTGCCTTGTAAAGTGATCGATTACTGACATCAATTAAATTTAACTGCTGTCTGCGCAAAGCCACTGCTTAACGAACCCCACTGAATGCTGGATAAATATACATCATAGATATTTTTTAACACAGACATTCTGAGAGAATTAGCTATTCTGAAATGCTATGGCTACTAATACTGATGTATGTTGTTGGTATGATCAAATGTTACCAACAGTAAACAAGATGGTTGTTTCCCTTTAAATGGCAAATTTACGTTGTTGCAGGGTTATGGAGAAAAGTAAATAGTATTTATTATTTAGTGATTTACTAAAAAAAAAATGTTTTTACACTTACAAGAAATCCCCAATCAG